ATAGCGCGCCAATCATAACCAAATCAAGATAAAGGTCTCCAAGACCGCCATTTCCTTGGAACCTCACAGTCTCGGGCAAATATGCGGGTGGGCGGACTCTGTCCGGTAGAAGGAATATGACAAAAAGTGCCTCGTTCCAAGGTAATACGCCATTGAGTGTCATTCATTGCTACGCTGGGAATGGCGGATGACAACCGTCGCACACACGGCCCACTATTGTGAACCTATGGCGCAGGTTTGTGTCTCCGTCACGCTCCGATGACTTGGGGAGGCATGCCGCATCTTTAGCCGATGACGGCCACGGCACCCAATCAGCTATGACGACTGTTGGAAACACGGCTCGACGGTTCGACCATCCTCGACGGGACTCCTCACTTGGAGGACGCAAGGCCAAGCCACGGTCAGCGACACTAGCCTTGTCAGTTCCCACTCTTTCATCTCCAACGTCCCAATGAAAACAAGCAAACTCGTGCGAACGCGCGCTACCAACTGCCTCGAGAGGTCGAGTTCGCTGACAAAATTGGGTCCAGCTGGGCCCCGATGTCCCCGACGCGCCCAAATATCAGACGAGGGGGAATGAGACGGATGATCATCTCCTCATGTTGGTGCCTTTGGTGCCTTTGATGGATGGATCCCCATGCTTACCCCAGTGCGGAGAGCGGGGGAGCAGAAGCGTCTGGGGTTTTGGTGTTGAAAGCATGATTAATGGAGCCGCCTGCAGGAAAGACAGCCTTTTTGGCCTTCTGCCCGGAAATATATAAGACTTGGCCATGGTCGTCCCCGTTACTTGGCCCTACTTGGCTCACTTGGCTCAACGTTGATCAATTGGCGCACGTCGCACAATCCCGCAGTGAACAGCCTCCATTTCTGGATCCCGCCAAGCTAATCTGAACGCTGCCAAGCTCACCATGGGAGTCAACGAAATCGACACCGTTCCTCACTCGGACGGTGCGTTCGAGAAGGACACCGGGGATCTGAAGCCCCAGACGGAGCTCGCCGAGGGGCTTGGAGGTGGAAAGGCCGCCGCCGTCAACATCGTCGAGAACCCGCTGAAGGTGAGTTTTGCGCCAAGATCCAGGGCCATGAATCAAGAAACGCCCCCAGAATCCACTGACACGCAGCTTTCTCGCAGCGCAAATCCCCACAGCAAACCGTTGAAGACGCAGTGGCGTTCGCCGAGAGCCACAACCTGGGCGAACATGCCGCCCTCTTCGGCCGCGCGGCCATGGTCGCGCGCGACATGAACAACTTCAATGATGTCGCAGACCTCTCCGAAGAAGAACGCCGGGCGCTCGAATATGAGCGGGACCACAAATGGCACGGCCCGAAGATGCTGTGGTATTCTATCGGCCTCTGTGCCATCGGAGCCGCCACGCAGGGTTGGGATCAGACTGGCTCCAACGGTGCCAACCTGACATTCCACGAGGCCCTTGGCATCGACAGCGGGTCTTCCAGAGATGAGTGGCTCATTGGTCTGATCAATTCCATCATCTTCCTTACGGCTGGTCTGATGTTGGTGACACTCGCCCCCCCGAATCTCATCGCAATTGCTAACCACGTGCATCGCAGCGGCGCGTTCATCGTCGATCCTCTCAACCACTACTTCGGCCGACGCGGCGAGATCTTCATCACGGCGCTATGCCTGACTGCCACCCCGATCGGCTCCGGTTTTGCGCAAACATGGCAGGGTCTCTTCGCGGCGCGTTTCGTGATGGGCATCGGCATCGGCGCGAAGAACGCCACCGTGCCCATCTACTCCGCTGAGATGGCTCCCCACCGAGTCCGCGGCGCCCTCGTCATGTTCTGGCAACTCTGGGTCGTTGCAGGCATCTTTCTGGGTTTCTGCGCAAACGTCATCGTCAAGGACACCGGCGACATCTCATGGCGACTCCAGCTGGGCTCGGCCTTCATCCCATCCTTCGTCTTGGCTGCTGGCATCTTCTTCTGCCCGGAGTCCCCGCGTTGGCTCATGAAGCACGGCCGACATGCCGAGGCTTTCAATTCCATGTGCAAACTTCGCGCGCACAACATCATCGGCGCCAGAGATTTCTACTACTCGTGGGTTATCTACGAGGAGGAGCTCAAGGAGGCTCGTGGCGCTGGCTACTTCCGCCGCCTTTGGGACTGCTTCTCTATTCCCAGAATCAGGCGTGCCAACTACGGTGCTAGCACCGTGATGCTTGCCCAGCAAATGTGCGATCCCTTCCAACCTTTATCGTACCTCGACTTGTTAGGCTGACCCGAGTAGGTGTGGAATCAACATCATCTCCTTCTACAGCTCTACGATTTTTGTAGAAGCAGGATACACGCCCGTGGAGGCCCTGTATGCTTCTTTGGGTTACGGCGCTATCCAAGTTATTGCGACGATCCCCACCCTATTCCTCATTGACACAAAGGGGCGAAGGACTCTCTGCATGATCGTGAGTCAATGTGACCCAAAGCTGCTGAGCATAGACTAACAGTCCCAGACCTTCCCTCTGATGTGTATTTTCCTCTTGGCTGCTGGTTTGTCCCTGTTGAACCCAACTGAAGAACGTGGACCAAAGATTGGACCGGTCGCTCTGTGAGTATCATCATTCGTTCGCACAGACTACCTAGGCTAATACTCTTGTGATTCAGCTTCATCTATCTGTTCACCATCTGTTACTCCCTCGGCGAAGGTCCCGTTGCTTTCCAGTACTCCGCCGAGGTTTTCCCCACCATCCAGCGTGAGCAGGGCATGGCCTGGGTTGTCTGCATTAACAACACCTTTGGTGAGCCTTGAAACATTTAATATTGGGGATGATAGACTAACTAGCCTTGCAGCTGGTGTTCTTAGCTTGACTTTCCCGCGCATGAGCACTGCCATGACTGCAACTGGTGCCTGTAAGTATTCTAATTAATCCCGATTCCAATTCTGCGACTGACCTGTCCGCCATAGTCGGCTTCTACGCTGGACTAAACCTCATTGCCTGGTTCATGATCTTCTGCTTCGTCCGAGAGACTAAGCAACTCACCTTGGAAGAGTTGGATCGTAAGTCGACCTGTTCCCTCCTGCGTTGCTCCACTTTACTAACCTCACTACCAGAGGTCTTCTCCGTCCCGACGAAGCAATTCATCAGCCACGAGATCAAGTACTCTGTTCCTTACTTCTTCAAGCGCCACGTCTTCCGCCAGAAGGTCCCCAAGCCTCCCGCGATCATCGCTGTCGCTAGCGAGTCGAAGAAGGACAACGGCTCCAACTCGGCTTAGATTTGACCGATTGCGCGTGGACATATTTTGCGTGGAGGAATACCCAGGACGTCGGATGGATGTGTTGCGATTAGTTCACTCGTTATGAGATATCCCAAGACTAGTATCGATCGAAACTCTGAGCTCATGCATCGGGTGCAGATTCGGATAGATCGTGTCTTTTTTTCCAACCTCGAAGTTGGGGTTAGTGGTAGTATTGAAAGATAATATGAGGTCTGCTACTTTACTTCCTCGTCTAGACCCTCTTCACGTGAAACTGAACTTCTGCCTAATGACTCGCACAGTAATTGGCATGTAGAAAGACGCAGCAAGTGAATCACGATCTGGGCTGGGCCATGTCCTGGCTTCTAATTATTGCACTAACGGCCACTTGAATTGAAGCGTCAAGTAATCGAGCCAGCTGTGGCCATCGTCGTCATTGTCGATACGGTTCTAGTGTAATCTTTACAGACTGCTATCGCCTCAAGAATAGAACAGTCTACCACCCATGGTCCACTTCAACCGGCGCCTCTCATTTGATTCCACACAGGTACAGAATCTCTCCTGTTTCCGACACTTCGGAAGCTGTGTCTGGGTGTACTACCCGCCAACTACCCGCCATCGGGTTGAAGTGGCGGAGGTTATGCCACGCCTGGTTGGTGATGTCAACTTCGAGCCCCACAAACGTCCAAGAGCGGAGTGTGGGATGTTGACTTTGCTGCGAGAAGCTTTCTTTATAGGGTAAACGGGCGAAAGACGTAGGTGAGCGCTGCGAGGAACATCGAGATGCTGGGACCCGTATAGTCAGCAACGCGCTCGTTGAAGAAACCGATGTTTTCTAATGTACCACGCCTTCGGCGAATGAAGCATTTCCATAGAATGAAGATCGTTGACGGAAGCCCAACAACGAGCGAAACAATCGCTACGATAGCTTCCAGAGTCATCTCCATTTTTGATGCGGGCGAGATTCAAAGCGGCGGTGATCTCAATTTCTTTCCGTGAATATATTTCAACGACGGTCGTGTCGAGGGCTCAAAGGCAAGAGCCAGGAAAAATGAATTGTTAGGAATCAGAGGTAAATATACTTGAAGGCTTGTGATACTGAAAACAACAAAAACTAACGTCAGAATGAGGAGAAACGCTAACGACAGTTTGGGAGGTTTGCGATCTTGTAGCCTGGCATCGGACCTGAAGGGGATCACGGAGTTGCTGGAAGCAATTTCAGTCTTCGGAATGCACCAGTCAGACGCAAGGTGGCAAGGCACAGGATCTGGCGGACCTACGTCCATGTGTACTCATTCCAGTGATGTTGCCCTCGCCGCCAGTCCTGGTCATTTCAGACTTCTGAATGAACCAATAGCAGCATTCGCTTGCTCGTGTTTTGTGGATTATGAAGCTGCATTGTTCCCATTGCTGAAAAAAGATGCCGGCAGTCGAGTACGTACTTATCGAGGACAGTTTTGGAGAAACCGGACTTGACTGATGAACTTCCATAGCCTCACAAGACCAGCCCCAACAGACAGACGCGTGGTCTAAGCCTTATTTGAGATTCAGATAATGGCTTTAGCCAATTACAGGGGCCTGACACGACTGGTGCTGATTTTCTGTGATGGTTTAAGGCTCCAGCTTTCCCCCTTCCTGTTTTCATTTCACATTGCCAGCCACAACAACCTACAATCACGCTTGCGCACACCGAAACATGTTCATGTAGTATCCGTTGGGCTTTCTTCTACCAGTCTCTTCTCTGTGGATGTGCAAGCTGTCACATTGTTGGCTCCTAGATCAAGGCTATGGCTTCCTCCTCTGCCAGGAAGCGGCCCTCTGATGAAGAATGGCTGAAACACAAATCCACCATAGAGCGCATGTTCGTCAGGGAAAAGAAGTCTTTTGTCGAGACAAGACAGCGTCTGGAAAATGATGGGTTTCTGGTCACGTGAGTCTCTAGCTCTGTATCTGAATCGCATCTGCTGACTGATTCGTAGCAAGGCACAACTCGAATACAAGTTGAAGCTCTGGGGGTTTCGCAGAAGAATACCGAAGACCAAGAGTGATGCCGTCTGGCAATTCGTTGGTCGTCGTGTTCAACGAAGGAAGCAGCAAGGCAAAGAAACCGAGGTCATGCTTGGCAACCAAATTTTTGATGCTGCCAAAGTCTGCAAAGAGATCAAGCGGCACCAAGAAACCATTGTTTCCAGACTTCGTCATCGTATGCCTCAGTCTTTAACTCATATCGACCAAGTTATATGCTAACATGTGCAGCGAGTCCAACGACCCCTGAAGGACTAGAGATTTCCCTCAACACCCCGGCACCACTGCCCATGCAATTCTTATGGCCAACTAGTCTGCCCTGGAGCAAATTTCAAGACAGCTTTCCTTTCGGTAAGTCGTATAAATGTTACTGATTCCATTCATCAACACTCAATCTTACAATTGTGAAGTTGTCTCTGCTCCGGGATTGCTCAAGAACATGAACGGCCTATCAAAGGGTTCGAGTTGCCAGAAGGAAGACTTATTCTTCACCGAAATGCTACGGGTTGTTGCTCCTCAATATGTGTCTGGAAGCAGCGTTACTCAACTTGCTGCCGAGATTGGATCTATTATCCCAGAAACCCACCAAAATGAGAACTTTGGTCGGGCTAGTCGACTTCTCCAGGGCACGGCCGACGAACGATTTAGCGAATATGTCAAGATGATTTTGTATAAGATTTCGAACAATCTCTTCTCGGTCAACAAGATACATACCAAATATGCCAACCGGCGACGGGGCGAGACTTCGGGTGAGGTCTCATCCGAAGAATGGGAAAATATTACCAAGACGCTAGAAACCTCAAGCATCATGAAGACACCTCTCCAGCTTGGAAACATCACAGACGCTACAATGACCGCAATAATGGAAAAGCTTTTCCAGAATGCTATGCGGAATATCGAGTGCAAGATATTCAACCATTCCTGGGAGACGTCCTCTCACGGCAGGATCATCAACTGGTTGTTGCAGTCTGGTCAGAACCCGGACATACGGATCCAACATCATGGTGAAGATTATACATCTGTGGTGACACCATTACAATTGGCAGCTCGAATGGGATCCTTGGAGCTGATGTCACTACTTCTGGACCATGGTGCCTGTCCTGACTTGGCATTTGAGCCCTGGGACGAATTTGACGAGTCTGGGACTGCCAAATGTGCACATCCCTTGCTGGAAACAGTTCGTCATTACAACGGCTTTTGTGAAGGCCGTTTGGGTATGATTGAACGCTTGCTGAATATGTGTTCAGAAGCTTCCAGGGATTCGATCATCAGGATGCTGATGAGCTGTGGACGGTACTTCCCGGAGTTGATGGAAGCGTTCATTCGCACTGGAGCTGATATATTCCAATCAATAAAGGCCACGACTGATGATGCCTGGTTTATCGACACTTTCAGTATCATCGGCTGCACAGTCAAATACAGCTGTAAGCCGGAAGAATTGCATCCGTTCTTTCGCTTGCTGGAGGATGCTGGGATTCAAAATCTCTCTCAAATCCCAGAAGCCGTTGATACGACAAGTGTCGTCTTGCTTGCTGCAGTGGAAGGCAACACCGCCTTTTTGGAGGACTTACACAGCTATGGCATTGATACCACCGCCACAGGGAATCTTGGAAGTTCAGCAATACACGTTTCTGCGTTCTACGGGCACCTCGAAACTTGCAAAAAGTTGGTCCTGGAGCATCATGCACCAGTAAAAGCCGTGGGGTTCAACAAGCAAATCCCTTCTCCCCTACACTTCGCTGCAGCTGGAGGAAATCTAGGAATTTTTCGCTTATTCCACCAAAGTAACCTCGACGTCAACGAAGTTTTTGAAGATCAGAATGGTCTGCAATTTTGAGTAGGACAGATGAGCGAGAGACCTGGCTCGATCGTTCGTTCACTGCTGTTGACGTAGCGCTGGATCTCTCCAACGACGACATTACCCAGTACTTACTGGAAAACGGAGCGAAGGCACCGCCCTGGGGTGCCTATTACATCACATACTACCGCGAAGATTACACAGCGCAGAAGCTTGCAAAGCTTGCTCTAAAGGCTGGAGCAGACCCATCCTGGGGAGTCTGTACGCCTCCGTCATTAAGCACCTGCCGATTTAGCATTTGCTCCCAGTTCCGAGGAGCATTGAAATTCGGATACACTGTTCTGGCACAGGAATTGATTCTTAATGCCAATGAAGACGACCTATGGAATGATTCCAACATGTCGATTCTAGAAGCAGCTATGATCACGTGCCACAAACAGACGGTAGAAAAGACATTCGCAGAAAACCCAGGCGCTTATGATCCTGGGGCCCTTTGTGCCAAAAATTTATTCTCTTCAAGATCCAGAGATAGCATAACCATCCATCAACTTCTCTCGAACCGCCCCCAGTCTGAAAAAACATCACCTTTGGAAGCACTGGCCATCGGATTGGCTGCCTGGAATGGCCGGACGGACATACTCAAGCTACTCCTAGCTGAATTTCAGCAGCCGGTGCTGGCGAAGGCACCTAAAGTACTGCGCCACGGACTTCTAGGATTTTCTCCAGCCAGCTTTCCAAAGACGGATTGCCTTTCTGGCATCGACCTGACAATCTTCGATCCACTTCGCCGACCCTTTTCGCGCTTGGGTCGACAGAAGCGCTATCACTTATGCTGAATCATGGGTACAGGCCTGACAGGTCCACCATGCGTGCGGCGGTGAATGATTCCAACCTGGACATCCTCAAAATACTGATGAAGTCTCCCAGACTGTCAGATTGCCCTGATCGCATTCAAGGGCCCTTGTCATACGCTGTGATGTATGAAAAGTACGATGTTGTGCAATTTCTTCTGGAAAATGGAGAAGACGCCAACGAAGACAATCATCACGTGTACAATGAGAAAGGGGAGAGTGCCAGAAACCCTCTCCAGTCAGCTGTTGAGAAAAGCAACCTATATCTAATCGATCTGCTACTTAAGTCCGGTGCTGACATCAATACTCCCGCCGCTAGAAGTTGTGGGGCAACCGCTCTACAACTTGCAGCGATAATGGGACGGCTGGGGATCCTGCGAACATTGATCGACCATGGAGCCGATGGTAACGCACCCGGTGCTGAAATCGAAGGTCGCACAGCACTAGAGGGTGCGGCGGAACATGGGAGGATCGATATGATCCAGTATCTTCTCAGTATAGGAGCGCGGACAACTGATGGAGATCGCCTGCAGTACCTTCGCGCCATCAGGTACGCTCAGATAGAAGCGCACGAAGTCGCAGCAAACCTTCTCAGAGGTCACTGGGAATGGACGACAGACGACCACATTTTATGGACAGCGTTGGAGGGATTGCATGGTTGGCAATTGGAACACTTCAAAGAGAAGACACGAGAAGTACGGTCGTTATTGAATCCTTTGGGTGACAACTTGGCTTCGAAAGATAACAAGGCAGAAAGCGCGTCGATGAAGAATGGCCCAGACCACTTGGTGCCAAAGGAAGATGTTTACTACCCTACTGAAGAAACGGAGCCGCCCGATGACCTGGAATATTTGGTAATGAGGACAAATGATCCTAAGGCATTCATGATAGGGGAGACGTGAACAGCTGATGAAACGATGTTGTTGGTGTCTATTCTCAATATTTCCTAAGAATATACGAAAGTGCGAGTGAAAAGTCAGAAGGGGGGAAGGGTAATTTCCCAATAGTAGACGGCTTTGATTTATGCCAAGGCTCTCTTCACTTTCTTCCTGTTAGCCTGTCATGTTGATAAAAGTCACCGCTATCAATCACCTGAGTGCTGATGGGGATAAAAGATCCTTGGCAAGTTCAGCTACTATCTCGCTAGCTTTAGCCCCCTTCAATGTCGTCAACCTCTTGGTCACGCCCTCAGGTTTGTTCCAGACCTCAATGGATTCGTCCCCGATTCCCTATGAAGCAAACGCCTTGCCCATGTTCTCGGCCTTCAGTAGCTTCCCGATGTCCTCATCGTTTAATTTGGAGCTGCCATACATCTGATTGACTCGGGCGCAACAGATGACAAGCGCCGCTAGTACAGTCCCCAAGTAGTCGCAACTGATGGCCCAGTCTCATCAGTCAAGCTTTTGACATGCCCGGGGTCACAATATGGATGTCTGTTGACGACTTCCACTCTAGCGAGTATGAAGTCAGCATTGGAAAGGTCGCCCACCGAATCGCATTGGAGCCTGAAGTTTAAGCCGTATTCGATGGGTTCATTCAGGCTTGCAGTTGCACATTGGCGCTTTTGCCAAGGTATCGAATATGTTAACGCTAAAGACGGATGAGGCCCAATGCAAATCGTAAAAACTTGTTTCGGGATGCTTTTTGGGATTTCGTCCCACCCTCCCAATCTACCGAAGGGTATATGCGCTCTAGAGGAACCATATTTATAATACATAGGAAGACAAGATAAAGGAAAAACACACAACAATATCCATCATATCTTCATCTCGCTTAGATGACAAAGACGGCCAGCGCCACGGCCATCATGAATGCGCCTGAGCTAAGCTTGCCTGCGCCGGCCTGAACGGGACCGGTTGTAGTAGCAGGGCACGCAGAGCCGATGCAAGGAGCGGCGGTACCGGTAGGGAAGAGACCGGTGGGGAGAGTGCCGTTGTAAGGAGAAGAAGGGGCGACGACCAGAGTGGTGGGCATCGCGGTGTCAACGGGGGTCTCGGCTACGGGCTTCTCGGCGGAGTTGGTCCGGCCGGCGGCGGGAGCGCTGGCGGTAGAAGCGTCGGTTCCAGGAACAACCGGGGCAGTAGTGACGGGGGACTGGGTGCCGGGGACGACAGGTATCTCCGAGCCGGGGACGGAGGGGTTCTGGGGCACGTTGGTGACAGGGACACCGGCAGCGGGGGCAGTGGTGGTGATGACGGCGCTGGTCACGATGGTGGTCTCCTTGCCGACAGGGCAGTTGGTGACGGTAGGGGCGCATGAGGTAATGGTATGGACCTCGGTCTTGTAGGTGGTCAGGACGACGGGGACGTCAGGGGCCTGAGGAGTGACAGGGACGGGCTTCTCGCCCTCGACGCTGGTTGCGGGAATGACCTCGCTGGTGATGATGGTGGTCTCTTTGCCGACGGGGCAGTTGGTGACGGTGGGAGGGCAGGAGGTGATGGTGACGATGTTGGTCTTGTAGGTGGTGATCTGGCCGGCGGGGGGCTGCGTGGTGATGACGGGCTTCTCGGCCTGGGTGGTTGTGCCGGCGGCGGGCTTGGTATAGCTCTCGACGGGGATGGCGGCGGTGGTGGAGATGACCTCCTCCTTGGTGATGGTGGTCTTGGAGCCGACGGGGCAGTTGGTGACCGTGGGCGCGCAGGAAGTGATGGTGTGGACTTCGGTCTTGGAGACGGTCATCGTGGTGGGGACGTCGACGACGGGGCAGATGGTGGTGGTCAAGGGGACGACCTCGGTGACGATCTGAGGAGTCTCGCGGGCAGGGCAGTTGGTGACGGTGGGAGCGCACGAGGTGATGGTCTTAACGTTGGTCTGGTAGACGGTGGAGGTGGCCAGGCGGGTGGGCAGATCGGCGATCGGGGTCTCGGCGGGGCCGGCGGAAGCGGAGACGGAGTGGGTCTCGGCGCCGGACTCCGTGGCGATGCCGGTAGCAGCGGCAGTGCTCGACACAACGACATCGGACGCAACAGCAGTGCTGGCAACGGCAGTGGAAGAGGCGATTTGGCTGGTGGAGAGAGTAGTGTTGCTGGCCTCGCCCATCTGGTAGATCTTGATGGAGCTGAGCTGGAAGTAGACATCAGCAAAGGCGGCCGGGTTGCTGGCAACCCATTCCTTGCAGGTGAGACCAGTCTGAGCCTGGCAGCCATTTTCCGCATCCCAAATGCCCTCGTTGCCGGCTACGCCGCACAGACCTACGTTTAGAACCATCTTCGCCTCGCCAAAGACCTTGGAGGCTTCGCAGACGCTGGTGGTGAAGCTGGGAGTTCCCCAGTTGTCGGGGTTGGGGTTGTTGGCGATGTCGGCCGGAACGTTGGCATGTGTGAAGCCCCAAACCTTGATCGCAGTATCAGTCCACTCCATGGCGTATACGCCGCCTTCGGCAGAGCCAAAAGGAGCAGAAGAGTCGAGACCGGCGCAGCCCTCGTTGTCAGACTGGCCCGCGGCATAGTTGGCGCAGTTGGGTTTGCTGACGGTGCCGGTCATGCCAGTGCCGTCGATACGGCACTCGCCAACGTCGCTGTCGGTGTGGAGGACAACCTTGTTGACGTTATCCAAGTTCCAGGTCTCGACAATGTCGATTTCACCGGCAGCAGGCCAGGGGTTGCCGACGGTCCAGCTTGGATGATATCGTTAGCATCTTCATATGGCACCATGATATCGCATCCTTTGACTTACAAAGCAGGCCAGGCACCACAAGTAGGCTTGGGAAAGTGGGAGAAGTCGGCAACGAAGAGACCCTTTTGGTACTTGCTCTTACTTTCGATACGGACAGAGCTACGGCCAACGCCAACGGGATCCAGGGTTGTCGTGGAGTCGACGCCGAGATATAGGTCGTCGTCGACGATCTTCAGAAGGCCCTGAGCCTGGGCATTCTCAGCAGACTGATAGTTGACGTATCCGCCCGTGGGGTCGACATCGTTGTAATCGCCGGTGGAGTAGTCGCTCTGGGGAGAGAAAGGGATCGTCAGTATATGCCGATCACATCATCGACTATCGTGAGCCTGTATTGTGGGTTTTCTTCTTGGTACTTACGGTGAAGAAACCAAACTTGTCCAGGAAGTTCGTAGAGTCGTAGCTGTCCACCAGCTGGTATGACTGGGTGGCAGAGACGGTGGTACCCAGAAGAAGGGCGGAAGAGAGCGTGGAGAGAAGCGAAGGCGCCATTTTGGGCAAGAAACAAGACACAATAATAACAACAAGAATTAACTATTCCAAAAAGACACACACAACACACAAAAGCGACTGAATTGAATCTTCAAACTTAGACAACGAAAGAATGAAGGTCGTGTTTAAAGAAAGGAGTGACTAAGATACCAAAGAGGAAATCTCGAAGAGGATAAGAGGGAAAATGCCTAGATGCCCAGGGCGCGTGTCCCATGGGGTCGCCCATCCATCTTATACCGAGCCAGCTATACGGTCGACCCAGAACCGTTCCTGACCTGTCGATGCGCCTGCAGGGCCGTGAGATGAAATCCCTCAGGGGTTCAGCCCGCTCGTCCGTTTTCTCCAGCATTCCCACTCATTGGGTCTGCGGGTTCCAGCAAGAATAGCCAGAGCCTTGGTAGGCAGGCAGGGCAACTTCACAAACGGCGGCTCTCGTCTTGGTTGGAAGGGGGGCGTAAGCGAACCGGGAGGAAACCAAGAAGAGAGACTAGAACACAGCCCCCCTGACAAGCCTGCCAATTCTGGAGATATACAAGGACTCGTCCGCTCCAGCTGGTCTCATGGTGTGGCCGCTAGGTGGCCCCACCGATGAACATCTGGAGTCTCTGCGTGAAGAGTGAAGACAGAGGCGTGGAAAGTGTGAGTGGGAACTCTGGTTTCTCCTGCACAATCCAAGCAAGAAACAGACGACAAACAATGCGCCAATACAAAATCAGGCTAGCAAGTTTTCATCCCAACCTGAAAGGACGCCCAGGACAGAAACGGGACGGCGGTTGGCTGGCGGTTCAGGCACCGTCCAGGCGTGAAGAAGGGCAGGTGGTGGTCGTCGTTCCCGAGGCCAATCGAGTTGTGAGGACCACATGCGTCCAAACCTCACACCCTTGTCGGTTATGCCAGGAACAGACCCTGATGTGGGTGCTGGCGGGCCAAGATTCCGCGGTTCCCCTATTTTCTGCCCGGAGCGCACTCGTGGCATTTCAGCGCTAGGCCATGCGGCTTGCAGGGGTTTGCTGATGCGCTCTCTGCTCAAGCCGCCGAGATCTTGATGGCGCTGTCACTGTTTCGGACATGATTGGCACAGAGATCTTCTGCACCGTTGCATCGAGCCCTCTAGACCAGCGGCTGTCCTTTTTTATACCAACCAGAGAACTCAAAAAATAGACACAAGACGGCATAGGAAATGTTGGCACGAATGGACGTCTGACGCGCCGTCGCTTTTTTAGGCGCGTTACACCAGAGCGACGGTCCGTACATAAGTCTGGCCTATCACTTTTTTCTGCACATCCCGCTGGACATGCCGAGCTCCAACCGTGTTTATCCACGCACACCAACAAAACGTGGTTCTCGTTTTTTTTTCTCTTCTGTGGTTTTCATCCGTTAACGTCCCGCTCAGGGGCTTGCTCCCGTTTCGGAGGACAACGTCCAATCGGGACGGCTGCAGGGCTGGAATTCGCGGCGTAGCGGCGGAGGTTTCGTTCAAATGCGTCCTAGCGGAGGGTTTCCGGTGGAGCATGGAAAGCGGCACGGATTGAAGGTGGGTATTGTCTTTGCTCGTTGACGCCGCGTATTTGGGGGCAAAAGTCCACGCACGACCGAGGTCAATGGAATGGATTCGTATGGGCTATGGAGCCTATCCATCACGTAGGGTCGAATCTGCACAAAATGCACCATATCCTCCAGAAAGGCACGTCAGGTCCGCTCATGAACGGGCCTTGTCCTCAGCTCAGCAGCTGCGATACTGAACGGACCATGTCTCGCTTGACGAATACGTGCTCCGCTTTGGTGCTCGCTTGTTCTCCTTCGGTCCTGTATCAAATTCATCGAGCTGGATTGGGGGACAACAGTATCAAGGAACCCATGGGCCGGGCATACTATTCTTGGTATTCCCCTCATCTCCTTCACCTTCGCTGACCGACTTTACGGCATTGGCTCACCGTCTGATGGGTGGCCTCTGGTATTTATTGTAATTTCATTGCGCTGCGCCTCGCCAAGATGGGACGTTAGTGCGCTGTCATTTGCGTGTTGGTAGTTGGACACCGGACATGAGTTGCGACAGGACGATATCTTGCCAACCCTTGTCTGCATTGTCAGCATTGTTATGCGCAAATGCATTTTCTTTACTTCATAGGCATGTCCACTTGAAATCCTTATCATTGCACGCTTGACGCTGGAATTTCATATGGACGCCCTTCCACGCAAGCTTCATCAGTCCTTAGGCCCAAAACGCTGTCTATTGGGCAGCTTGAGAACAGCGCTAAAAGGATCTCACATGCCGTGAGGCTCGATTATCGCGCAATGATAGATCGCACAGGCGCAGCGACGCAGAGATCGTCGCTGGTCGATTCTGCACGGGCGAACCGGTTGCTAAACGTCTAGACCGCGCATCGCCGCAGTGGAGACATCAGGCTCCTTCGCCTAAGTAGATTCCCCTGTAACGGCACTGCTTCGGATGTCGACGGTTCTGGAATTGATCGTCTCTTGCCTTGCTTTCAGCTGTTTTCATGTTACATTCTTTTCCTTGACGACCAGTATTTTCCTTGGCAAATGGTGACGATGCATAAGACTTGGACAAGCTGCCATGATTAGGATGACAGGTCAACCAGACAGGACTTCCGTTTTTACGTCATACTTTAGTTTGTGTAAAGTGCTGCCAGCTTGTGGATGTTTTATGAAGTTCTAGATATGGGCATGAACAGTCGCAAGCGGTCCGGCGGGCCACATAAATACATTCGCGTGGCTCAGGGTATCCACATGGATCGGAATAGCTTCAAGTCCTACACAGATGAAGTCAGGGCCTAATCACTACACCTGATCGAAAAATAGGTGACTTTCGTTCGTTTTGTTTCAACAGTTCATTGCGTTTGTCTCCACGTTTTTCACGCATGTTTCCAGACGTTGAAATAAGACTGCTGTCACAGATCTGAACCGAAACTCTAATTTATCACAAGCCAAGTCGTTTGACTCGCTCCCACCACTGGCCGAATAGTGCCACCGCGCATCGTCAAACGAGTGGAAATTATTCTAGGTTGGACTTCATCGTTTTCAACTAGTATTTCGATGTTACCTCACAACATTTACTAGTTGGGTGAAGCTTTACAAGCCGGGTGGTGTCTACACACACGCTTGTAATCCGGATATCCTACACTGAAGTGATCATGTTTCCTGTGTACTTGCTTTCGTTGTCGTCATTGTAGTCGTCTTTAACGCTGTCGCTGTCGCTATCGTCATTTCTATCGTCGTCTATTATCGTTGTCTACTGTCGTCATCTATTGTCATTATTAATTGGCGTTATCATTATCACTAGCACTATCGTTTTCTCCACTGCTGACGTCCTTACAGAAGATTTAGGCGTGCTATAATACTGCCCGGTTAGCAAAACTGTTTAGGCAAGTAGGCAAATCCTCAGAATTTTTGCCTCATCCAAGCGTACCCCTGGCCTCATTGATATCTTACCTATGCTCCTCAGAAGGTTGCTAGGTTGGATTCTGCCCTGCATCCTCAAGGTACTCTTAAGGACTAAGCCTTCGATAACCATCTTGCCCGTGCCCTCAACCGTGCTTTCACCAAGGTCCCCAAGAACCTTGTGAAATGACCAACATTGTCACATATAAATAGTCGGTTGCCTCACCGAACCAGGCAGATCATTACCTTATTCCTCCGGCCTAGTTACACCCTCTTGAGCAATTTTTGAGTAACGGAGCAGTTTCATCATGACAAATACAAACAATTCTACAGCACGCCTGAAGTACGGTCAAGACTGGCCCAAATGGTTTTTGCAGCTCCAACTCCGGGCGCATGAACAGAACGTTTGGGAGCATATCAACCCAAAGGCAACCAATTCCAATGTTTCTATGCAGCGTTCGCCGCTGGACGAGGTAATTACGACGGGTCAGACGCAAGGCACCGGATCAGACATTCACCAGGAGTATACAGATCGCTTCGCAGAGCATTTCATGGCTGCTAACGAAAGTGAGGAAGTTCGAAGGGGTTGCCTCGTCTTGCGGAGATGGATTCACTCAACAGTCGACACCAGGGTTCTGTACGCCGCACAAGAGAGAGCCGCCGGAGAGGGTGGCAGCCTGCAGGCTGTCGTGCGGGCTTTGCCAGGCCAACTTGCTCTCCCCAAGAGGAAAGTGATGCAATCGTTTTTCTCATTGAAAACGAAAAGTCCACAAGAGCTGAATTTGTTGATGAAGAATACAAATTTGGAGGCTTCACACACAAATGAGGCCTCGGCCGATGGAGCTGATTCGAGCTCTCTCAAGACTATGAATTTGCACAAAACAGGTTGGAATCCAAGATCAATCTTAGCGCTGTTGAAGCGAACCAAGACAAACACAAAATCGAACCTTTTGCAGCTTCCGAACGAAGTGCTGCTGAATATCGTCGAGCGCCTCGAGCTACATGATGAATTCATTCTTGGCCAGACTTGCAAAGCATTTCGGACCATCGTCCAAAAAGATTGGAATCTTGTTTTCGACTGTCTTTCGTTAGCTCGTAAACAAGTCTTTTTGACCGGAGTTGCCTTTGTTTCACCTAACCACTGGGTTTGTGGGTTTTGTGACAAGCTTCATCGTTTTGAAAAAGACGATGTACCTTGGCAAAAGCCTTCGAGAAGGTCTCGTAATCGATGTCTATTTGACAGAACAGGTCTATTTGACAGAAACGGTGCCAGCTTTGACCCTTTAGGCTTCGAAATTGAAGAGAGGCATGTTCAGCTTGCTCTGAAGTTGGCACGACTCAAGACCGTCAACCGGAAATATCTCAACAAGCTTATGGCACCTTTCAGCCACGAGTTCGACTCCGACATACGTGAAACCAGCGAGTACTTCCGAGCCTCGCCCAAGATCATTCAGGAAAGGTTCCTCCTATATACTCAGCTCGACATCGTCGATAAAGTCGGCCTTACTCTCAACAGTTGCGACTACAATGAAATTTGTCCACATATGGTGGTTCACTCCAGCGACAAGATTCACGAGTGGTCCTCTGGCCCCGAGAAT